TCCTTATTTTGGTAATCGGGCTTGTTTGTTCTTTGAATTTTTTGATTTTCTACCCAACCATATCCGTCTTTGTTCCTATTATTTTATTTCACATGATTGAGAGCCAAGATGGTGATAGTTGAGGTGGTTGTATCAGGCCCCATGACTGGCTGCTAAGTGTTCTTTGACCCTCYTGTCAAGAATTCTATGTAAAATGATCACATATGGACCAGACACACACTTGCTGATAGTTGGTTGCCACTGAGCATAAACAGAGCTCAATAATGATCTAAGCAACAAACAAAGAAGCAAACTGTTTACATGGCTGTGTGCACAGTAAACTGTTTGTATGGTTGAAACTTATGGATCAAACTATTTACATGGCTGCTACTGCTGCTGTCATATTAGAAACCACTGTAAATATGAGAATGCAAAAAACAACAAATGCAATGCTGCAGGTTTAAGAAATAGAAACAACAACAAAACACATTAGCTGAAACATGTGTCTGTGTGTGTATATATATATATATTCATCTTGATGTGTGTATGCATATGTATTTGTACATATAAGGTTTTGATGTTTGAAGTGGCTGCAAGTGGCTGCATAGCTCCAAAATCTTCCTACTGTTTTGTTCTTACTGGTTGTGTTTGTGTGCTTACAGTTTCAACAGCAACCGGTGTTGTTTGTGTGCTTACAGTTTCAACAGCAACTGTTTCTTCATCAGGTATAAACACGTCTTGAGGATAAGCTCTCTTTATAATCAGTCATTTAGAAACTATGATATTTCCATTTACTGGATGTCCTCTCTATATGTCTTGATATTTCCACTACCATACCAAACTAAGTAGAATACACATGCCTGCTGTAATGCACACAACACCCATGTGCCTGCTGTAATGCACATAGAGATCTAATAAGCCTTGCTGTTGATCTGTCTCTGCTGCGTTGATAGTGAGGAATCCAAATGTGTAACCATTGKTTTTTGGCTTTTTCCATTTCATCGTATATACACACATACCATAATTCTACCATAATGTGTACATTGTGTTACAATATCAAATTGGCAGCTGTAATGCACACAGAACCTCATTGACTGTTTGCCAAAGCAACAACCTGTTTACGTTAAATAATATATGAACAAAGACACCATAAGATCCTTTTGAGGTGTATTACTGTTGTTCAACTTGTACGGTGATACCCGCACCAATCCAAACATACAAATATCTCAACTTTCTTCCCTTTTTCTCAATTTAATCACTACCATACCAAACTAAGTAGAATACACATGCCTGCTGTAATGCACACAACACACATATARAACRTACTTATARGTGTATATACAGAGCTCTGCATTGCACATGCAGAGTCTCTGATCTTTCCTTCGATACAGAGCCTTCCTCTGTATCTCTACCTCTTGATAGCTCATGCAGAGCTACTTTTTTAACATAAGACTCAAATCCTTGTTAACCTAATATTCCCGACCAGAGCTCGGGGTACAGAGCTCTCTACGTATTTCAATTACTTGCACACAAATCCTTATATAGGGCCACTGCATACCCATGTAGAGCCTCTGTATGGCCTATGTAGAGCTTCTGCATATGCAGAGCCTCTGCATAGTACATGCAGAGCCTCTGCATAGTACATGCAGAGCTTCTGCATGAAGCATACAGAGTTCAGCTTGATACAATTCTAAGTATTTACATGGCTGCTACTACTGTTTTCATATTAGAAACCACTGTAAATGTGAGAATGCAAAAACAACAAATGCAATGCTGCAGGTTTAAGAAACAGAAACTGCAGCAAAACACATTAGCT